AGTTATTTATCAAATATTTCAAAATTTTATCAAGTGTTCGCCCATTGTACTTCATCAAGAGGTTGATTTTATGGGAAATTAATTTGATAATGCAACAGAACAAGAGCCAGACGTGGAAAGAAACTATTCAGTCAGTTATGAAAGCATCTTTATCGACATCACTAGCACGCTCTATACCGCACATCTTTTGCCAATGCAGAAGAGGAGCGCGTAGCGAGCCAAAGCAATTATCTACAGTATCTGCCCCAAGCCTCTGACTTAAGTGTGATGCTTCTGTATCATATGGCCTTGGGTTCGTAGCTAGATAACAGTTATATATTGCTGAAATCTTGAAGATCACTACTTGTCAGCTTCATCTTTACATTGTACATTTCCAGGTGACCAGGACATTGAAGGCCTCACCGACAAGGTCCTTCCCCGTCGTCTTGGACCCAAAAGAGCAACCAAAATTCGCAAGCTCTTCAACCTCACCAAAGAAGATGATGTTAGGAAGTACGTAATCACTCACGAGAGAGTGCGTGAAGGTTGGTGTCTTTTCTTGTCATTGCCGATTTCGATAGTGCTCCTTAGCGCACGTCCAATGCAATTACGCAAAAGATGAGCGCTCAAGGAGCTAAAGCAATCATCTACAGTATCTGCCCTTAGCCTCTGACTTTAGTGTGATGCTTCTGTATCATATGGCTTAGGGTTCGTAGCTAGATAACAAACGCACGTGTACATATCACCGTGTACGAAGTGTATCCAAACCTCGTATACGGTGACATGTCTACGTGCTCTACCAGTTTTTTTTATATACCTTAGCATAGAAATTTGCATTTTCAAGTCTCGAGTGTCTGCAAATTTTTTTAGGAAAGCCAACTCGCATCATTGCCCCCAAGATTCAGAGGCTCATCACGCCCACTGTGATTGGCAGACGCAAACGTCTGCTTAGAAAGAAGATCCAACAACGTCAAAAGTCTCGTGAGGAAGCCGCTGCCTATCACAAGTTGATGACCAAGTTTGCTAAGGTGCGTAGGCCTACAACACTATTGTTCGTACCCTTTGTAAACCTCTACTACTTTGTTAACTTTTAGGAGAGAAAAGATCTGAAA